CCTCAAAAAAAAAAAAAAAAAAAAGGAAAGAAATGTACATAATAATATTGCTAAGTATACCAAGTATTATCTCTTGGTCTGCTCTCCAACGTTAGAACATACCGGGATTTCTTCTACCCACCTGTATGTTCGTCCCCGTAGCCAGCTTCTCTTCATCCCCACTCCCCCCCAGTCTCTGGCATCTGCCGTTCTATTCTCTACGTCCAGGAGATCAAGTTCTTTAGTTCTCACAGACAAGTAAGAATGTGCAATGTTTGTCTTTCTGTGCCTGGCGTGTTTCAGTGAACATAATGACCTCCTGTTCTATCCAGGTTGCTGCAAATTCCATGATTCCATTCTCTTTATGGCTGAATAGTATTCCACTGTGTATATATGCTACATTTTCTTTATCCATTTGTCCGTTGATGGACACTTAGGTCGATTCCATGCCTCTGCTGTTATGACTAGCACTGTGACAGATGCATGACTGTCCTTTGATATACTGATTAATTTCCTTTGAGTGGATTCTCAGTAGTGGGATTGCTGGATTATATGGTAGTTCTGTTTTTATTTTTATTTTTATTTATTTTTATTTTTAGAGACAGTCTCACTTTGTCACCCTCGGTAGAGTGCTGTGGCATCACGGCTCACAGCAACTTCCAATTCCTGGACTTAGGCGATTCTCTTGCCTCAGCCTCCCGAGTAGCTGGGACTAAAGGCCCCCGCCACAAGGCCCAGCTATTTTTTGTTGCAGTTTGGCCAGGGCTGAGTTCAAACCTGTCACCCTCAGTATATGGGGCCAGTGCCCTACTCACTGAGCCACAGGCGCCACTCCGGTAGTTTTGACTTTTAGTTTTTTATACTTTTAAAAACTATTGAGGATCCTAAAGACTTTTTATTTATATAGATTTTTTTCTATCTATATTTACCATATTAGAATTTTTTTGGCCGGGACTGGGTTTGAACCTGCCACCTCCCGTATATGAGGCCGGCATCCTACTCCTTTGAGCCATAGGCACTGCACCTATATTAGAATTTTTTGTGTGTACGGTAGCATCATAGCTCACAGCAACCTCAAACTCTTCAGTTCAAGTGATCCTCTTACCTCAGCCTCCCAAATAGCTGGGAATATAGACGCCTGCCACAACGCCTCGCTATTTTTAGAGATGGTGTCTCACTCTTGCTCAGGCTAGTCTAGAACTCCTAAGCTCAGGCAATCTACCTGCCTCAGCCTCCCAGAGAGTTAGGATTGATTACAGACATGAGCTACCATGCCCAGCCTTTTTTTCTTTTTTTTTAAAGTAAGGTCTTGTTTTGTCACTCAGACTGGAATGCAGTGGCTTTATCATAGCTCGGTGCAGCCTCAAACTCCTGGGCTCAATTAATCCTCCTACCTTGAGCTTCCCAAGTAGCTGGAGCTGTGGGCACCTGCCACCATTTCAGGCTAGTTTTTTTTATTTTTTGTAGAAACAGAATCTCAACATGTTGCCTAGGCTGGTCTCAAACTCCTGGCCTCAAGTAGTCCTCCTGCTTTGGCTTCCCAAAGTGCTGAGATTATAGATGTGAGCCACTGCACACAGCCCCATATTAGAAATGGTGTGAAGTTTTCTAAATACTACAAATTTGTTAATTCTATTTAAAAATAACAATATCATGGATAAGGTGCCATAGGATAAAAAATAATAAAGCAGTCATGTGCTAACGTAAGTAATATCTTAATGAAAAACAATGCTATTCTCCCAAACAAAAAATAATTGAGGAGTGGGAAGAATGGGCATCATTTTACATTTTTATAAATCTTTTTAATGCCTGGCTTCCCAGATAACCTATGGATTATTATATCAAAACTTGACAAGTGGGGTGACAGTGGCCACTCCGAAACCCTCTCTGTGAACTTTTCATACTTTGTTACATTAAAATCCAGCAGTGTCTCTTATGCTTTGCGTGGATCTTCTACCCAGACACGATTTTGTGTTATCCTTGGAAAATACTGTTTCACTGAATTTGCATAGCATCCAATTGTTGACTCACTCTGTTATTCAGCATCAAACCCCCCATGTTTGTAAATAGCACCACCAATATCATCAGAAAAGTCTTCAAATTTGGGGAAGCTGTCAAGCCCGTTATGATGTATATGAGGTTTAGGTCCTAATTTTTGCTTGAAACCTTGAATTTTATCATTGGCAAAGAATACTTTGTGACAGGCTCATTGCATTCATTTTTGAGAAAACATCTTCTAAATAACCAAGACTGAACAATCACAGTTTGGCAGTCATTCTTTCAAGTAAAAAATGGTGTTCATGGAAAAAAATACCCTACTTTGGCTGGTCACTCAAAACAGTTGCACAATGCTTGCTTTTCCCCTAGCTACCTATCATACAGAAAGGCTTCACGCAGGCTGGGCCGGGTGGCTCATGCCTGTGATCCTAGCACTCTGGGTGGCCAAGGTGGGTGGATTGCTTGGGCTCATGAGTTTGAGACCAGCCTGAGCAAGAGCAAGACCCCTAGCTCTACTAAATAGAAAAACTAGCCAGGCCTAGTGGCAGGTGCTTATATTCCAGCTACTGGGGAGGCTGAGGCAAGAGGATCTCTTGAGCCCAAGAGTTTGAGGTTGCTATGAACTGTGACACCACAGCACTCTATGCAGGGCGACAGAGTGAAAATCTGTCTCAAAAAAAGAAAGAAAGAAAGAAAAAGAAATAGGGCGGTGCCCATAGCTCAGTGGGTAGGGCACCGGCCACATACACCAAGGCTGGTGTGTTTGAACCTGGCCCGTGCCTGCTAAAACAACAATGACAGCTGCAACAAGAAAAAAAAATAGGGGCTCAGCTCCTATAGCTCAACCGGCTAAGGCGCCAGCCACGTACACC